AGAGAGAAAGAGAGAGAGAGAGAGAAAGAGAGAGAGTTGAAAAACGTTTTAAAATTGCAAATTGGAAAAGCACATACAAACACGTCATGTCTATTTATCTGTATATTGATTGTATTTGTGCACGGGTTTCGAACCCCATTCCTTTTGCCCCTACGTTCTGATTCCGTACCCGCCTTAAAGACCTCGGCCATCCGGGTCGTATAGACATAATTGTTTCTGTTCTATCATATCAGAGGGCCGAAAAAAATATCCTTTGGGCGACCAAAGAAGGTATCTAGGAAGAGAGTCAGATATATCCGAAAAGCTAGTTCAGATTAGAGAGATAAGAAAATTAGTGCGAGAAAATCTGTGCCATTCTACTGCACCTCCGGTTTATTTATTTACAAAAAGGTGTTACATACAAGGAAAAACTTTATATAATAAATAATATAATAAGAAATATATTTCATTCGGGTTTTGAGAAAATAATTTTAGAAATGTAACTCATCTGGTGGCTACAGAGCGAAGTCGCTTGCCTTTCACCAAGGAGGTCCGGGTTCGGTTCCCGTCGTATCTCGGACAATCTCATGTGAAATTTGTTCCAACAAAACCAGTCGGCTGCTTCACAAGGGCCGCCTTCCAACCCCTGTGAAGTGTCCTAAACCCTACCCCAATCGTAGTTCCTTCCCAATTCTGGCTTTGAGTAGTGACTCAAGAGCGCGTAGTAGGAGGCGCGTACGCGACGATGCCTGGCGGTCCTCTTGAAAACTGCCGACGTGACGGAAATGACAATGTGAAAATAATTAATGTATAATTTCTTTACGCGCAAAAGCGCTCAACGCCACCAAAGCTTGGAGATGCGATGCGTAAATAGAAGACGCAACAAATTGTTATAGTCAATCATTTACAATACGATGTCAATTATATAATACATGATGTCTCCTATTCAAATGACGACGTCTCCTATTTAAATTCTCTCAAATATGAGGGGTATTACTTAAATATGATAACTAATATTTTTTTAAGTTCTCATTCAATGACATAAATCTTTGTTGTTGTTGCTGTTTTGATTGGAATGAATTTTAAATACTAAAAAAGATTTTCCAGGTATAATTAACTTCCCCTCTGTATTAATTAATACAATAAGTGGTTAGAGTGAATGTGTCTTAAAACTGTGGAAACTATTATTATTAAAAAAATTGTGTATGAAATTATTTAAAGAGATGAATTACATGCATTTTGTTCTATTCCAACCAAAAGTTGAAGAATTTTCATGAATCTCAAAAGAGGAAAAAAAAGAAGCAGGTTTAACTTTGAAAAAGCCTTTGAAATTTTTCGAATTTGTTTGGAAACTTTTAAGCAAAAACCCTTTTTAATTTATCATGCAAAATAGCTGCTGCTCATATATAAATGTGCGAGAGCAAAATATTGTTTAAAAAAGTCTTAGAGCAAAAAAAAATATTTTTTAAAAAAAATATTGAAACTGAAACTAACATAGCTCAAAAAACTTTAATATTGAATAATGTAACTTTTAACTTCTCACATTTGTAAGTCTATAAGGAGTATAGTAGGTAAACTGTTATGGCTAAGTACAAAATATAGTTATTTGCAAATTAGCCAATTAGTTTGTACACTACCTGAATGTTTGGATAAACTTGTATGAAAGATGATGAAAGCATCATTTCAAACATCATCCAGCTAATACTCGCTGTAGCAACAGGGCACTGGCTAAAGTAAGGTAATAGTCCAGGCGCGAAGTGTCTTCTGTATTTGCACGAAGTACTTTGGCATAAAAATATATTGGAAATTATGTGTTCGACTTAAGTTTCATTGAGTGAAATCTGTCAACTAAGACATATTCACAGCAATGAATGTTAGTCTCTATTGAAATAAAAATTAACTTCCCTGTTAAATTATAACAAAACAAAGTAATTTGTTCATAATGTAAATGAAAGGCTAACATAACATTAATTCTTGTCTGTTTGGTAGTACTTTAAAGCATCCATCATTTATGCATTAACAAAAAGTGTTTCCACAATTTTAAATTATCTAATGGAAAATAAATAAGAAGAAATTCATGACAGAACTTACCATTAGACTCTAAGGAATAATAGCGGTCTGATGAATGTGTAGAGAGCTCAAAACTGCTATGGCTAAAATCCGATGATGATCCAGACATACACGAGTCTTGATTTGTGGAGTGAGTAAAGTCTATGTGCAGTTCAGGCACCCCTTAACAAACAAAAATAATGATAAATGATTCTATTGATTAACAAACTTTGATTATTGCCAAATTAAGGTTTCAAGTGTCACATATTAAAACATGCTCTTCAATTATACTTCGTTTTGTAAAATGTGTACCACCATAAACCTCAAGACTTTCATATTTCATAAGCATAGTGACTAGTAACTAATAGTAGTGTGTTTTCATCAATACTTTAATGAATTTAAAATTAAGGAAGTTAAAATACAAATTCAACAATCAGTATTTGCTCTTTTAGCCCCACAAATTAATTTTAAAAATTTATTTACTTTTCAATTTACCACTTCCATAGCAATATTGTGAAAACATTCATTTCTACTCTAAGCGTTCACAAATCTGACCTTATGAAATTCTGTGACATCCACTTTGCTATAAAACTCCAACAACTGATACAGAAAAAGTTTTAAGTGAATAATTTCAACACTTTTAATTTTTAACATTAGAGTTAAACTTTTAAAAGGTATTATTTCAAATAAATAATTATCTCAGAGAAGAAAATGGTACAAACAAAAGCAGCACAAGACAAAGCTAGATGAACAGAAACCTGACAATACACAACAAGTCACTTTTTAAAAGTTACTGGTATACAATCATATTAGATTCAAAGAAAAAGCATTCACAGTCCATCCTCAAAAAAAAATCTGTTATGGTCATTTGTATTCAAAGATTCTAGAGTCTTTCTACATTAATAAACAATTTTTTAAAATTTATCAGATTAATATGAGATTTAAATGAAATCATTAAAGTATTAATAAACAATATGTTATATAGTATATATGTTATATAGTACAGTTAAAGGAAAAAGAAGATAATTTCAATGTCAAGAGATATTTTTGAAGATTTTGGGGTGTATTATAAGTTAGCCCTTACTGAACTATTTCGACCCAATAAATCACGGACATAACAGACAGATATGAAATGGCTTTTAAAAGAAGATGCTATGCAAAAAATACAAAAAGAACAATCAAGGTCTTAATATTAAAAGATTACCTTACCATCATCCAATTGGGCTTGCACATCAAATGCCTGCAAGTCATCTTCGGTGAGGGGCCTTCGTACTGGGTTAAAGAAGACCGGCACAGCATCAGCAGCAGGTCTGGTTTGAGGGGTGATTTTGGACGGGGGAAAGTGATCTTCGCATACAAATCTAATTGTATTGAGCTTTTTCAGTTCTGTCTCTGCAAGGGTTACATCACCTATTGCTTTAATCCACTCTCTGCACCTGGAAAAAAAAGATTAATTGAACATTGCAATTTTCACTTGCAAGGAGTCCAACAACCAACCTTCCAAATTTTGATTCATTCACTTGGCAAACACCAAAGGAGGGAAAACAAGAAATACAAAAGAGGGACAAATCAAAAGATAAAGAAAAGAAAAAGCAGTGAATTGCTAGAAATTTTCTGCAACAGAAAATGAAATTCCAATGAATTGAGATTGGAGTTATCAATTGTCCAACAACTAAACCAGATTTTTTCTAAGAATTTTCAGCAAATAACAAATGTTTTTGTATTGTAACCTTCTGAGGTATTCATTTCTTATTATATCAAAAGTTGTTGTTTAGTTGTGAATGGAATACTATGAAGTTTAATTGCAGTAAAACATGCTTTTTTTCCTTTCTCTCTCTCCATTGGATGTTCTGTACACATGAACCTTCTAGCCAAATCATGTTTGTATAATGACCTCTGACAGAACTTCAACGCCCAGCCTAATTTTCAAAAGCTTGCAAATGCTCCAACCCACTACCCCAATCCCTGAACCACCACATTCCTTAAGAGAACCCAATCCCCTGCCCAATTCCTGAAAATACATCCACCTATCAGAATCCACAGAAATATTTTCCCAATCATTAAAATGAATTAAAGTATTGACACCTCTCAACTTTCCCACCTAAATTCTTATAAGATTATGGATATTCCCCAACTTGAAAGTTCTCCATCACATGCTTCAAACTTGCATGGTGGAGCTTACACCTTCTAGAGGGGAAATTATTAGAATGAAGGTAATTAAGTTATTTTCACATATTTTATATTTAAAGAATACTTTGAAAACATCTCGCTAATGTTGCAATAAAGTAATATGAATTTGTCCCTTTTTTGGTCTTAAATGTCTTCAAGAATTAGAATTTTAATTGATGATTAATAAGTTGAGTATCTGACCACTACTAAAATTTTGTAATTTTCATGTGACCACTACTGAAAAAAAATCAGGGTATGGAAATAAATTAATAAAAAATTGACCCAATTAAAAATTCGCCTTTTTGAGTAAAAGATATATTTAGAAAGAAATATGCAAAGCACCAATTCAATGAAATGAATATAGTATCATGGCCAAAGAAGTTTGAGAAAATTACAAAAATGTTTGTAAATGCAGACTCTGCTGGTGCTCTTACCCAAATGTAATCAGCTTCTGGGTCAAAGATCCCCATCCTTATCAGGATTTTTTTTTTGTTCACTTTTCCTTGATGCATTAAGTACAGTGAAATGGTCCTCTGCTTTGATCTTGAACTCTAAATGTAGCTTTTCTCCCTCCCAAACATCACAAACAGTTTTTACAATTTTTTTAGATAAAATAAAATTTAAAAAAGAAATCCAATGGGCAACAATTAAAAACATAGCAAAGTGTGAAGTCAGTCCTATATTGTGGCAGCATGCTATATAATAAATCCCAGTTCACTAATAATTATTGAATCAGGAAAATTAATCACTTCATAACTCCACACAATCTATTTTACAAGAGAGAAAAATAAAATATCTCTCTCAGTAATCACAATGTTGTACAATAACCTATTAATATTGTACAAATTTATCCTGTCTTTATCTCATAAAAATTTCAACATTTTTTTCTTAAAGTAATGGAAAATTTGTTCCTGGATGTGGGAAAATGTTTTTTCTGGCCTACTAATGCACCGTCTGCTATTATTGCTATTGACTTACACAAGTATCAAGCAAGGTCAAAATACAAGATATAATTTGCAATAACCAAAGCTATAGATATTTCGCAAAAACAAAAAAACACTCAAATTTACATGTTCTAGTTCTTTCGGCAGTTCCTGGAGCCATGTCTAGTAAACAAAATGAAAAAAATGCTGAAACACTGCAGAGTTTAAAAAAAGGATTTTTCTATTTTAAAATTCCAATAATTTTATTATTTACTAAATGCATCCTTATTTTCAAAATCTTCACTTAATTATATTTATTTCTTGAAAATATTTTGATCTGACTAGAACTTTTTCCTTAATTTACTACTCAGTATTTTTTTTTTCCATTAACACTATTAAAAACACAATTATTATGCATACAAATAAGTGTAACTACATAACACATCAGAAAGAGTCATTCAAGAGAAAATACTTTTTCCTTGTGTTAAATTTTCTATTAATGCCACAGCAGATACCCACAATCCTCATTTAGAAAATATTTCCCCACTGTGTTCAACATGACAGGTCAAAATTATAATTAACAATAATTAATTGTACATAATTACTATGCTTTTGTCACTTAATATTTTTGATAAATTCATACTATTCATTAATGAATGGAGCCATTTTGCAAAAGAACGTCAAATGTTACTGCATTTAACCTACGTTGAAAAAGGCCAATGAATCCCTTCACAGCAAGGACTACTGACGTAATGAAAATAAGGAAAAGAGATGACTGATGAGACAATAAATCTAGCCAATTTAACCTTCGTAACTGACACTTACATTACACTGATCCTCATAGGGTAAAAACATCCATAACATCCAATGGGCCAACATTTCTCAAATTTCAGGAATTATAACAGTGAACGCCACAAATGGCAAAGAATGCTTACCGAGCCACATCCCGGGGAAACAAAAATAACTTCTTTTTAGCGGCTTCTTTAGGCTTTGAGTTTCTGCAAGTAGGTACCCAGCATCTTCTGCAAGGTTTCTTCGTCGTTTTTGCCATCTCTGCTCTTCTTAAAAAACTTAGTACTTCTACCTTCTTCCTTCGCTACCCTCCAACGCCGATGTCAAACGAACACAAACGAAGTGACAAACGAGACACGAATGTGACATTCGCCGACACGAAACCTTCATAAACATGTGGCTGCCGCCCGGGCTGAGACATACGCTGTGCCGTGTTGACGTTGTCTCATGCAAAGAGTAAATGTGGTAATGTTCTTTCCCCTTTGGAATATCGGCCATATAAGCGCGGAAGAACGAAAGTGATGGCTTGTAATGTGAATGACCTCGAGGTGGTCATTCACTTCCACCTGTTGATGGGCACTTATTAATTTGGGATTATTGTACGGGGCAGTGATGTAATTTTTTTGACCTAAGAATAGGTCAATAAATTTCTCCCACCTTCTTTTACGAAGATGGAGTACCACAGGAGAAAGTTATCTTTAACATTCAATTTTTAATCTGATAGGCATCAATATGAGCAAATATAAATTTGAATGAAGTATAATTTTCTATCAAATATTATTTCCCACAGCATCAACCCATGATGTTAGAAAGAATCACAACACAAGTCTTTATTTCTTAAATTATAAAAAATTCTGCACTGACAAACTTAATTTACCAATTTATCCGCTGGATATTTCCTTTGTAACTCATCAATACCGTGTTAAATTTCTTGGTGAAAAGAAATAAGGCAGTTCTTGGATAAATTTCCATTGCAAGCTCCTATTTGTGACCATGACCACAATAATATATCTAATGATAGAATAGTGCAGACATGGAAACTGATTAACATGCTCACATACTATAAAAATAATGAAATGGATTTTTCAATCATTTTTATAAATCTTTAAAATCTTTTTATTGCATTTTAGATTTAGAACACCTTCTTTAGGAAGTCAATATTTGTTTAACTCTAATTGCAATTAAAATCTTCACTCAAATTAGTTTTCATTTCACTTCTGGGGAAACATTAGAAATGAGTTTTTTCTCTGTAAGAGGTTCCTTCAAATGCCAAGTTGAATTGAAGTTTTATCACACCTGTCATTTATTTAGAGACATCTCTATAGAGAGAATTATGACTATTCATGGTCATTGCTTAGATACCTAATAAAAATGTATTAATGTCATATAATAAATCATTATAATATTCAAAACAATACATCATTATGATCACATCTATCTTCTCTAAACATTGATTGAGAAAATTTACATTGGTCTTATACAACCAGGTTTCAATAATGCATGTTGTTAAACTGTAGTTGAGCAATTGTTTGAATCAAATTGGACATAAAGTAAAGCTTTACACATTTTTATTTACAACAGAAATATTCCTCTACTTTCACCTACATACTCTTTTATTACACCTCACTTCTTTGCATTTTACACATCTGTTGGAAAAACAGTGCATCATTTTTCTTATGAGGGCTGAAAAAAAAAGAGCATCTTACAATTATGCCATGCAAGAGTGAAAATGGGTAATTAAAGGATTGAGGAGCAAAGAAAATAATAAAATTCAAAAAATATATTTTCTTTCCTTACAGATCACAGAAATCAAGGCAATTTTTAAATTGCTTGAGGTTTTAAAACATTTCTGAAGAAATTATACAGCAAATTATATTACAAATTATACAATTATGTATCCAATATTTCATACATTTAAAAAAAAAATTAATCCAACACAATTTTACAAATAAATTCATTTCAATTAACAAACCAACCATATTTCCAGGACACATTAAAAATTCCACTCTTACAACAAATAAAAAAGAGCTGCCACATTAATTACAAATGAAGTAAAATACAATGACAAGTTCACCAGACCCTGCATTCCAAGAAAAAGTAAAACTGTCAAGTGAGGGGTTGAGTGGCTGAAGGGCGCAACTCGAATTATGGCGTTTATCCGTAAAAAGTTTCAAAATATTCTTTAGGTGACTTTCTACCACCCCTCCAGATGGTACTGCGCTAATCCCAATAGATGTCGTTTGAGTGGCATTTGAAATTCTGAATTGCGCCATTTTCTCATAACATTGTTACTTCTATGATCTTGCATAATTTCATTTCCCTGTGTTTAGAACATCAACAGGATGTTGACACAGATGTGAATTTGTCCAATATATCTGATTTTTCATCAAATGATAGTGAGTTCAAGTTCCAGATGATAGTAATACATCTTCAGATACTTATATACGTAGTGTTGAAGATAAAAATAAAGGACGAAAAAGGAAAACTTTTTATAAAATCGGAAAAAAAGAATTAATGAATCATAACTACCCTGGATAAAAATGCAAATTATTCTGTACTTCTGAAATTTAGAAATACAAGTACGTTTTCATAGAAGAAAACTATATTAAAATTAGCTTGTTGTATGGAATAAGGGTATAATTCAACATTTTCAAATTAATGTAAATCCACATATTAGAGCATTTTTGTGCATTTAATCAGTTACTAATAAGATTTTTCGTGTGATATGTATGCATTTTTTAATTTTATGTGAGAAATACAGCCTGTACACAGTTTTTTTCATTACCTCAAAACTGTGTTTTCTGAATTACACCCTTCTTCCATGCAATCCCTCCATAGTCATTTATGTCAATTTTCAATTTCAGAAAAGGAAAATAATGAAGTTGTGTAAAATATTTTAGAATATCAACAAACATTTCATTACATTTTTTTTGTTTCCTTCAAACATCAATAGTGAATGATGTAGGTTAAAAGTAATTCAAGTTTTTAATTAACATTTACAAACTTATTTTCTCAAAATTTACAAAAAATGGCATAAATTGAAAACAAAACTCCAACACAACTTCTAATGATACAAAATGAAAGTAACCAATATGAATGCAGTGTACAAAATTAAACATTTTTGGAAGAAGCAAGTCTGTATAACGGAGTCAGAAAATGCAAAGGTTCATATTCAACAACGTGAAATAGGATTTTCATCATTATATATTTACTGTCATCAGTGAACCATGTTAATTATTTTTTCTTCCACTTCAATACAAATGAATTAATAAAATGTACATGAACTAACAAATTGTCATCAGAAATAAGACCAGATATTATAGTGGAGAACTGGTTATAATGGTCCTGGAGTGTTCATTTGTCTACCAGAGCAAGAAGTGAAAAATACTATTACACCTTGTCATCTCTTGCTACCTAGTATGAAGATTGTGTTTTCTTGCTTCCGAATTGTAGTTTTGAGCAATGCTTTTAGAGTAGTTTTAGTGTTTGGCATTTTGAATGCATGAAGATCACCTGAAAGAGAGATCTAGAAAGGCAAGTGACGCCAACATGTTGCAGTTATTGTTTGGCACATAATAGCAAGCACAAAGATTTTGCACAGACTTTACAGGGATCAACCAATTGCAAGAAAACAATTTTAGACTTATAGCTGTTAATCCCTCACTACATTCTGAGGACCCCAAAACACAAGTATATACTATTACCAATGAGTCTGCCTGTTTGGCAGTCTTACAAAGAAAGGTTAGTCACACAGATGAGTAAATGATCAAAGATACGAAATGCCATTTATAATGTAATATTAAGATGTTGAGTAAATCATCACTCCCTATCCAGTCCTATGTTACATATTTTTTGCACTATGGCATTAAGTTTATGCAAATTTCAATTTGATGTCACTGAACAAAAGAACATTACGCTCCACTCAAAACCAGATTTGGATTAGAATCCTCAGAATACCTTTACATACAATTGATAAGTTGCAATCCTTTCAGTCCAACACAATTACATCATCATCATCATCATCACAAATAAGAGTTTGATTATCTTCAACTTCAGCCTTTATACAAAGTTCCAGGTGCCTTTCAAGGTCTCCATTACTCATTTTCTTTTCGCACATTGGACAATTGATGGAGCAATCATCACTTTTTGAATTAGGATTATCAAAGTCATTACTACAAGCACCTTGTTCGCAAATTGAGCATAAAGTAGGAACATTGCACTTTCTGCCTAATGACTGATTGCAGGCAATGCATCTATCATCATTATTATCATCATCGTTCATGTCCCCTTCCAATGAGATGTTACTCAGGCATAAGTCAAGATGGTCATTCACTTCTGAAGCTTTAACTGAGTCACTACAAACCGGGCAAGCAACTGTACACATATCATCATTACCCTTTGACTTGCCTGTCCAATCATTGATTTTAATTTTCTTTGAACCACTTGTTGAGGTGGTGAAAGAACTCGATTGCTTTAACGAACATGAACTTCGTGCTGCACTTTGACTTGAGACAACTGTATTAAATCGTTTCAACCATGGTTTGTCTGACACAGGAACTGATGCTTTTCCTAATGTATAGCCTTTCCCAGAAAAAGGAACAATGTTTTGATTGGAAACTGATGATCCCTGAGATTCTTTAGGATCTTCCTTTTCTGTCAAATTTGAAAATGTCATGATTCCTTTTGAAGATGCATTAACTTTCGATGTTGTGGGTGCATTGAGTTTTGGTGTTGCGGGCGCATTGAGTTTTGGTGTTGTAGGTGCTCCTGTATTTGTTGCTGCACTTGCACTGGGCTTTGTTGAAGTAGGAATAGTCCCTTTTGCTTTGGGAACTGGTTTTGTTACAGTAAAGGATCCAGATTTCATACTTGTAAATGTTCCACCTTTCTTCTTCGAAGTTGAGGTAGAAAATTTGCTTTGATCAGTTCCTTGAGATGTTATACCATTTGCAATAGGTTTTGTATTTCCTTTTATGAAAAAATCTTCAATTTTTCTCACTTTTGAAGGAGAACTTCCTAAAAAATATTCAAAATTCTATTTTTATTTACATGTAATACAGGAAAACACACAAACACATAATAAAACAAACATCTTCGCTGAAATCTAAGCAACTTTTACTATCTACGAGTGAATATATTTAAAGAGAGTAATCTAACCATGGAAATCTAGTCAAGCACAAGATTAATAATACCCGACTACTCAGTCGGGAAAATGTTCGGCTAACGAAATAATATATTAGTATTCTCTCTCTATAAATCGTATTTTCTTGAATATAAGCCTCCTCCCTTTTCTCCCAAAAGTTGACCAAAAAAAAAAAAAAAATACCCTGAGGGGGTGGGTTCTAACATGCGAGTATCTCAAAATAAGCAAAATCATTTTTTGAAAAACTGACTTTTATTTTTTCAAACAATGTCATAAAAGGATGGATAATTTTATTTTCAACATTTTGCCTGAAATTACCTTAGCACCTGCTGACAATAACAATTGCAGGGAATTGGCAGTTTTTAAATGTTCTTGCAATGAACATCATACGAAGTACATAAGTTTGAGAAACAAGAGGTATATAAATAATATTTCTCACATTCCCTGTCCCTTTGAAAACAATGAAATATATCCGCACATTCAAAGAACTTAGTAATAAAAATTTTATCATAACATACTCGAAAATAAAAATATTTTTCCATATGTCTCTAAATTCTATGTCCATCCTAGCACGATTGTTTGTATGCTCGTTTGTTTGTTTGTTTCTGGTGATTTCGGGCATAGCAACTACTGGAGACATTAGTCCCATACTTGCAGTGCATGTTTTTGCTCGGGAGGTGGCGGTGATCCTCCCCTTTGTTGTATGGCAAGATCCAGTGCCGACCTACTGTTGGCTAGCGGGGTTTTCCCCCCAACCAGGAATCTCCCACCAGCAAGGCACCACTCCAGCCGGGAAAAACCCTAAGCTCCAGACCTGTCTCCCGGCATGTGTGCTTGTGTAGTGGATGTTAGTGTGAGTGTGTGTTTAAAGGGAGAGGATAGGACAAGGAAGAGGAAAGACGGCACACGGTCCGTGGTCCATTTCTGAGGGTCCTCCAGACAGTAACTGAATTCGACCTAGTTGTCAAGCTAGTGTCGAAAATCCTGCCACCGTCAAGACTCGAACCTAGGACCTCCCAGTCTGAGAGGCTGCAGTGACATCAGTTGATGTTCTGAGCCATCCCTCAAGGTTCCTATCGAATCCAAACAAAAATCTGGGCAGATTTGGTGAATTCTATAGAAAATTTGCCATAGAAGTTGTAAATGCCTGTGACCCACAAGTGGTTCATGGATGTATTAAAACCACCAAGTGAACCACTCGAGGCTCACAGGACAGTGAACTTGTTACAATTTATTAGAAACCATAAACACAAAAGCCTGTTGTGTTGCTACTACTGGTTAGGCATTTACCCCCCAGTCCTGCTCCAAACATATTTAAGACAAAAAATAGAAGTGTGCAGATAATGCCAGATGGAAAAGATAAGGGCAACACACATTACAATTACACTTTATTCATAAAAAACAAAACCAGGTTTTCATGTTTTTAAAGGGATGCGAGTTTTGGGGAACATGTGGGGAGTAGTAATCTTAAGCAGTGTTCTACAAAAGGAGAAATTTTTGAACCTTTTATTACATTTTTATACATTTAACTCTAGCAGGGTCTCTATTCTATAAGCGTGCGTGGGGCATACGACAAGTAAATCTCAATCTGTGCGAAATTAAAGTAAAGAAATGATGAAGGAAATAATATTATTTTGTAATGTTTCTTCTTTGCATGCCAATGTGCCTTAATGCTATTTAAGTCAAATAATTTTTGAACAGTGTGTTTTTGTTTTTTTCTTTGTGTCCTTTATAAAGTAAACTTTGTATAGTTTATATATATGAAGTTGTAAAGAGTAGTGGTAATCCCACATAAATTAATAAATCAAATAATAGATAGATAAAATTAAAGTGCCTACTTGGTTATTTTGAAAATTTTATCTCAATGCAGAGTAACTGTAGAATATTTACTTACACACATATGTAACACAAAATGGTTCAAAGTTGGGTTCCAATACAATGCTATTTTCACTTTTGAAACAAAGATTAAGAAACTGTGTAATATTTACAATCGACCAACTAGATTATTAATAATTTATTTTCTTTATCTCCACAAAAACAAGTTGGATGAAAAAAGCTAATCCAAAAAAAACGCTTTTCTAAAGAAAGAGAAATATTAAAAGTAGAAAACTACTCAGAAAAAGTGCCTGTGTTTTGGAACATTTCTTTCTAGTACGTTAGCTCTGATGTCATCTGTAGTTGTCTGGTGTATATATTTTGTGAGTACATAAATATGATACAAATTCTGATTTTTGTTTTAAATTATGTGAAATCACAGAAACTTGGCAATAGTCATTATTGTTGTCCAAAATCAAACAGGGACTGAAACAGTATATGAATAACTAATTTTCTGATATATATGTAATAATAGTAATAATAATAATAATAATAATAATAATAATAATAATAATAATAATAATAATAATAATAATAATAATAATCATCATCATCATCATCATCATCATCATCAAAAAAAGGACTGTAAATAATTTACCTTGTTTTCCTGATTCAGGCAACTTTTTCTTACTCTTATAATTTTCAGGTTCTTTCACCTTTATGAAAACTCCACCACAATTTCTTTGGTGGTCAGCAAACCAGAAGTCGTAACGGCCTGGAGCTCTGTTTGAAGCCCGCTTTACGAAACCATAAAATGGTTTCTGATGTTGGCACGGTCCATTACACCTCCACCAGTGAGTTTTGTACAGATTAACTTCAGCATGGAAACTATGATATATCTGTAATAAAATAATACAATATTAAGGTGAACAGTCCCTTTGCTTCTTTTGAAGGGAAAATGGAGCACTTTCGTGTTCCTTCTTTTGTGCCATGAATTTTTGTCTAAAACTTACTGTCAACAATATTGTCTAAAAACTGACTGTCAACAATAGTCTAAAAACTTACTGTCAATGATATTAAATATTGTTGTTAAATAATGTTAAATATTGATACCTTTTGAATTGTAATGATTTGATGAAACATTTAAAGATTAGTAAGCAAAAACTTACTGCCCACAATATTGACAATACTGTCATGAAAATATTCCACTAAAAATAACTAACAACTTTAATATTGGAATTTCTTCTTTGTTTACATGGAACTAACACCGCCAATGAATGACTGTTTTCTAGCATGAATGGTTTCTGGTTTTGTGACAAGAATGTTCTTTCAGTAAAAAAGCTTTGAAAGCTCCATTGATTAATAAAATGAACTCTTATCATGTTTTTGTAAACTTTTTAAAAAAGATCAGTAATAAAAAGGACTATGAAGAAAATTCACTCATTATAAAATAATAAATAACCACTGTACAAATAATTTTACAGGATTCTTTGTTTGGAACACATTGAGCCATATTACACCCTGAAAGTTACAGATTGATTTAATATTACCACAAGTGGAAAAGACCTGTAAAAAGAATGGATGAACAGCAACTACAATGGATGGCATTTGGCTATAGACCACACTAAGAAAAGAAAAGGAAAAGAGGCAGATAGACAAGATGATGGCTGTAGCAAGAACACTTTCCTGCATGAAGGAATAGCAAATTTTCTACCCCCTAGAAGAGCAGGAACACTGTTCCTAAAATGATGGTATAGTTGATAATGATGATTATTAGTTTTCAAATTAAATATTTATGATAAAACAATGCATAGCATCTTCTTTTGCCCCTTTTTTCATTGGGAAAAAAACAACTTGCTTTCAAGTTTTAAAAATATGATCACATTATGTGACATCTGTTCAATTAACTCATGATATCTTGTGAAATCAGAGAAGCACCTGTGCGGGCGACATTCAGAAATTTTCATCCAAAATTATTTGTCCAACACACTTCAGTTCAGTGATTTTCGTCCACAGATTTTTCAGCCAGCAGAAAATTGGTTCAATATATATTTACAGTCAGATCATGATGGAACAACAGTCAAATGGAGCAAGTCCATACCATAGCATTTTCGTATGACAGTAAATTTCATACAGACATTTTCAATTCTTGGAAAAGTGTGTCACTATATGTGTTGTCCACTTGTGATGGATTGATTTAAGTCATAAAACACATTGCAGACATATAACCCCCTCTCCCCCACTTAAATCAGCCCTTTTGTCAAATTTCATATGAAAATAGTAGAATAGACACTCACAGTTATGTTGGTGCCAGCACTCTTGTTAATTCGATTCATGTGAGACTGGAACTCCGGACCATGGCCATCTCTATCTTTATTGTTTTTGGTAACAAATAGGAAGGCGTGTATCATCTCATGCTGGAAACAAAAGAAGCATATCATCACAAATGTTGCTACAATCTACTGGCATGTCACATTAATGGCAGACATGAATATACAACTTTGTTAACTATTAATAATGTAAATTTAATTATTCCTTCAATAGTAATATTAAAGATTTTGTAAGCACTCTTTAACATCATTATATTTCCAAATTATAACCTCCCATACTGAAAATCCCCATAGGATAATATTCCCCCATTGAATAAAATTTGCTGGCATCAAGCACACACAAATTAAGCAAAAAGTACAATGAAAATGAAGTAAAAATGTTGGCATATAAGAGAGCTTTTATCTTAAAATAACATACTTAAAATAACAAATCTAAGATGCCAGTATTTGAATCTAAGTTGCTTATTGAATTAAATTAAATTGTTCCCCTATAGGAAGAGGGCATATAAATAATAAGAACGTTGAAAATTTAAATTATCCCAATAGCAAGATTCCAACAAAGGATACTTTTTAATATGACAAATATATTTTCAATATGAAAATCGCGGGAAAAAGAAAATGGTTAGGAATAAGGAATGAACTTTCTGTCATTAATAATATACACTGCGATTCAATCTATATGTAACACATTGCTTAATCCCCAGTTTCTGGAAAAGAGAACTTATTAGAGATTATGTCAATTTCTTAAGTGGATAAATCTGTTCTCTTGAAAGTTTTTTGAACATACTATACCAAAGTTTGTATAATCCATCATGGGGGGAGAGAGGATGTGAAGATTGGGAAAAATGTATGTCGAATTTCTGAATATCAAATTGAACATCATCTACCGGCCGCATATCTCTAAGATAGAAAGAAAATTAAATAAGGAAGCAAAAGTGAGGTCAAGTTTAGAAAATAAGAAGATTACATTACATAAACAAACTCTGGGAAAGGATTTGAACCAATCGGTTAGGGGTTAAAAAAATGATGATTATAGGCTTCTTTTAATACGCCAACTTTTCACAGTTAGGGAAGACAACAATATTGTTTTTATTCTCTAATGCACCATTTTTGCACTGATATACTAATATAACATCAATTTGTTTTGATTTTCTGCTACATTAAACCATTTTTCAATTAAGCAGGGGACAATAAGGTCCATCCCAAATTCACATTTATTAAAATTAAAATTTGGATCATAAATTAATTGCACTCAACAGTAAGTCTCTCTAATGAAACTCTGTAACCGACATTCATTTTAAATACCTTTTAACATCATATTCGTACCTGGCTATTTTACATATTTGAAAAAGACCCCTGAACAGTAGAATCTTAATAATCCTACAAGCGGAAGAAAAAGATGTCAAAGTAGGGAAAATGTACATTGTGTTCCTAAATTTTAAACATAAAAATGAATTATGTTTTGAAAGGGCACATTACTGTTGATGGTGCCTCAGTGACAAAATTGAACCATGCAAACTCCACTTTCTTTCTCACTTTGAACAGCATTCTCAAAGGAAAACTGGCACAAAGAACTCTTACATTTTCTATTAATTAAAGTTAAACCTGCTTCTTAATTCTTTCAGCTACATATCAGTATTTTATAAAACTTGGTCATCTTTCCACACAGTTTTCACAGTAAACCTAAACCAACAAACTCAATAATTGCAGAGAACACAATTCTCATTAGATTCTATAAAGAAGCTGTTTTTCATACCAAAAGAGTCTCAACCAAGTCCTTTCTAGGTCTCAGTTTCAGGAGAGGAAGACTCAAACTGATTGATGTTTCCCCACTACGTGACCGATACCGGCAAAGTCCAGCACAGCTGCAATTACACCAGAAACTCATCTTAAAACAAAAGCTACAGTAGAAAATGAAAATTATGGATCTAAAAAAAAATATTTCTGGAACTATAAAAATCCCAGAGAGTAAGCATTCTCTAGAGGACAAGAATTCTAATTTTTATTTGCTCAAACCCTGATATGGATGAAAGGTAGAATTACCCTAGCATATTTTTGTGCTTTCACCACTAAACTTTAAGTGAATATGAAGGGTAGATAAAAAAAAACTCTTAACATTTCTAAGCATTGTCTCTTACCTTCCTAACATTTTTAATGCTTATTCATACATTACTTATGATTAGATAAATGTTCCAAGTATATTTAAAAGTAATAGTATCTCCACACTGAACATACATTTTTGAAAACCTTTTCAGAGTTTTTGCATGTAATTGAGATTTATCATTAATAAAAGAATTATGATTAAATTATTTTTAGGAATACAAGAAGTCTTACAAAATGTTAACAAATTTAGAACACCAGAGAACCAGCAAAACTTCATCAAAAATGAAGATAGGAAACAGTTAGGCTGTTTCGTTATGGTAAGTCTGAGACCATAAGACCTGCCCTCTTCTGGCTTTCACAAATTTCTTATAGTTTGTGTCTTTACAAAGATAGGAGAGGCCAACTACATCTACAACTGGTAGTGCAAAATAAAAGATCATCCCGGATTATCACGAAGTGATTGACCCAAGGCCTATCAGGATGGTAGTCTAAGTCCAACAATTAAAAGAGAAAAAGATACAAATGTTAAGTTTTTACAAATACAATAAAAATAACAGAACAGTAACTTTAAGCAGGTATCTACAAGATTAACACTCAGCATTACACACAACAACATTACGTGAAACTTTATTTTAGAAACTTTTTACATACGTGGTCATTCGCGGGCTCCACTTCACTTCAACAGAACCCAATTTGTTCCAGAAGAATCTTTTATCAAAGTTCACAAACATTCTATGAATATCAGGTGTTGGATCACTGTATTCTAATGATGGATCTATCAGAGACACTTTTGTGGTTGTTTCATCGTTAAGATCCAGGAAAGATTTTTTCTGCAAAGTTATCAAACATTACAACTTTATTACAAAACAGAAGAATATTCCTATCTTTGTAACAGGATTGTTGGAAAATTAAAATATTTAAGGCAATGAAAATGCAAAAATAATATAAAATACCATTTGACTTATGAAAATGTCTTTTGAAACAAACTTTATTTATGAAAATTAATGTGACATATAATAGAAACTTCAGAGATAGGTTTGATAATATGTATTTACATTAGAGAAGTCAATGTGTCAGAATCATCTACAAACAAGGACCAAAATAAATTTATTTTAAGTACATTATATAATCAGAATTACTTCAAGTTTAAATTTTGTAAGTTAATCTGAACTGTAACTGTCTTGTATTACAAATACCAAGGACAATGAGATCATTGACACACACATATGAACAAAAAATCACAAATATCATACACAATTTTTTTCTCTAATCGTTCTGAAAAGGAGAACATTCTAATAAGAGATTGAATCAGCACATGGTCTTACTTTTCACGGCATTTATTCGAATTTTTTGAATTTGCGAGAAATAGGTTACAATGAGGTACATTGACAGTTTTAGATATAGACAATACAGCAATCAAAGTTTGCACTAAGATATTCCAGAATCACCTTCTGTGAGCGAGAAAACTCTTCATCAAATTCTTCTTGCAGTTTCAGAGCCAAAGCCAGATCTGAATCCATTTCTACGATATTACGTCAAATTTCTAAGATCAAATATTTGCTACATATGACCATATTGTCATTAAAAACATTCACTGCTTTCGCGCCGAATATCATCTGCTCATGATCCTCTATGATGTTAAGACCCTGCAATAAGTTCAAACATCAATCACATTATTTTATTATTATTACAATCGTATTATTTTTATTGTTCCACGCTAGTGTACCAAAACATCTGCTTGTCACCAAAAGCTGAGTAAAGCGAAACGAAATCTTCCGATCTCATCCGATGTTAACGGGAGTTTTACTATAGAAAGATGCCTTCCAACCGCATGCAATTTCCCAGCTACACCTACGCCACAATAAAGTGACATTGTTATTTTTAAAATTTTTCTTGTGTGGAGATACAGAAATAATAGTACATTCTGACTCTGAGTGTTACTTTCCTTCACATAAATTCGATAAGCTTACTGCGTATTTGGGATATTCATATTCATTACCATCCGCACCTCACTTATTTATATTTCCCGCCACGTCGTGATTTGAGTAAATTCAGAGGCTATTAAAATAAATACCTTTTAACCATACTGTACATAGTATAACGAACACCCATAAAAACTATTATCCCAAAATAGAGTTTTTTGTTTTATAATTACAAATATAACGCACTACTATCAGGAGCAGTCGTGGCCGAGTGGTTAAGGCGTCTGACTAGAAATCAGATTCCCTCTGGGAGCGTAGGTTCGAGTCCTACCGACTGCGGAGTAAATTTTTTATTTGTTTCTACATTACTGCGCGTTTCAAACAAATTTTAAATGCTCAAACGAAACGATATTTTTGAGGTGGTAGCATGAGAAAACTTACAAATACAATGAAAAAAAATAAAGGTTTCACAATGTGTTGTGGGACTGCAATGCGTACATTTAATTTTTTTTTCTTTCCCCCCTCTCTCTCTTTCTTTCTCTCTCTTTCTTTCTTTTTTCTCTCTCTTTCTTTCTTTCTCTCTCTCGCTTTCTTTCTCTCTCGCTTTCTTTCTTTCTCTTCTTTCTCTCTCTTTCTTTCTCTCTCTCTCGCTTTCTTTCTCTCTCTCTCGCTTTCTTTCTCTCTCTCGCTTTCTCTCTCTCTCTCGCTTTCTCTTTCTCTCTTTCTTTCTTTCTCTCTCTCTTTCTTTCTCTCTCTCTCTTTCTCTCTTTCTCTTTCTCTCTTTTTCTTTCTCATACGGATTTTTGCTGAATTTTTCGTCACTTATTAACAAACTTTCAATTGAAAATTGAAATTATTTAACCAGATCCTTACTCAGGATTTTCTTTGGGTAGGGAGGAGAGACAATTGAAAACTTACATTCCAAATACCACTTAATTTATTTTACGTTTTAGAGACAGTATTGTACAAGGCAGAAATCGGCGATTTTTGATAGAAAAACTGGTATTATGGATCCCCGATGTTGAAAAAATGGTAAAATCTTTTTCTTAAATGTACCTCTAAAGCGTGGAGTAGTTATAATCTAAGTTTTGTGGGTCCTTGATATCGAAAAATATATTGACGGCAAATATCTGTCTCTTAGTCCCTCCGGGGCCAAGAAAGGAATCTAAACTGTTCAAACGATTTTTTCCAAAGTGATATCCCCGATCGATCTGGCGAACTCAAGGCCTTGCGAGTTGGAAACGAATATTTTGATATTGGAAGGTATTTTACAAGACAATTGAAACTGATTTCGAAGTTTTCTCAAAAATGGCTCCACATATTTTTATTAAACTTTTTCATCGGATAACGTAAAGGGCGTTTAAAAATTGACACGTTACCTTTTCGTTAAAATCTCTGATTTTTTGAAAATTGAGGAAGTTAAATACTATTTCGGAGTTTAACCTTCAACTACAACTACTTGAAGACTAGTAAAATGTGGCGTCGACGATGCTGTAAACTGTTTTAAAAATAGTTTAATATGATGAAAATTTATTTCATATTTCATTTATTCAGCTTTATTAAAAAATGTTCATCCTAAATATGCAATTTTCTGATGTGACGTAAATTTTCGCACAGTCATGGCCTTTATAAACACAACTATTATCTCACACCTATTCACGTGCCTATGCCATGTGACAAAACTACGATCGCTCATAACACAAAAAACAAAATATAGATCGAATGGCGGCAGATTCATTCCATTAAATTTTCGATTTTATTAACAATTTACAGTATGCTAGCAAATCGATGAAAATAGCAAGCGCAATTTATTTACAGCAAATATCCCGAAATTAGTTTCAGTAAAAAGCTGAAATTGTTCAAACGAAGATTATGGTCAATATAAAGATTGTAAATGAGCTTTAAGATCTTTGGGAGAAATTCCCTTTTCTTACAGCTCTCGTGGAACAGTTCCCTCTACCTGGGCCCCAGTGTCAGAAGTGGTGTACGTGACAGACGGCAGGTACCCCACTGCCAGGCGAGCAAGAACTTCTTTGGAAACGAAAAAGGACTTGTTTTACAATTGTTCAGGGAAGAAAAGTATTGAAATCACCTCAACAATACGATACGGAATTTTCGGTGTTAAAATCGGTCTTTGAGGTTCTTTTGAGCTGTTTGAGATCTATTAGTCCTGTTCCAAAGATATTTAAGATTAGTCCAGGAGGCGAGGAGATATACACATTTTTGGTACACGAAATTCTAGACGCTTAATGCGAGTACGTCAAAAGGAAGATGCTTATGCGGAGATCATTAAGACATTGTAATTTTTGGAGTTCTTACATAAAGCCTCTGTGACGTTTTCAAAATTTTCTCTACGATGGTTTAAAAATTTGCTCGAATACAAGAATTACACGGACGGGCGGACGGACGGACGGACGGACTGAGCTGATGCCCTGAGCCACCATTGCCGGTCCATCGGAGGCTGTGAAGAAAACGGCCCTCGTATTACAAATCGGGGGTATTCATTCTCGTAAATGACATCGGCGGCAAAGCCTTCGAAAGCCGGCTCCCAATTAATGAAGATAAATTAACGAGAATGATGTTGACTCAGTGTCTCGACCCAGTGTCAATTATTCAACTAGTGAAGCTACAATTTATCGCATCTTTTTTGTAGTAAGCTGTCTTATTAAACTATCCCAACACTATTGAAATGCGTATATGGGAGAGTTCCATCACAACTTGCCATAAAGCTCGTCAATATTTAAGTGTACGATTGATTTTTTCATAGCTGACAATAATTTAGTTGCTACATAATTTGAAGGAATTTGGCACAGAAAATTTGATTCGGTTTGATTTTCGTCAAAAACAGTAAAAACTGATAAATGGCTAAGGATACATAAAAAACAAATAGGAACATCAGGGGTTACATATATCCAGTGGGGGACATGATCTATAAACACTTGAAATTTTCAGGTAATTTATGTTCATCATCAGGTGAAACAAATGTTTGACGGCGAAAACTGAGGGCGTGGCTCAAGTCGGGGTTATTAAATCCAGCACGAAGGAAAGTTAACGGTACTACACCGAAAGTTAATAATTTTTCTTCTGTCATTTGATGAGGGATGCTTGGACAAACATTTGAGAGAATATTTCTTTTGTTCCTAGAAATTAAAGGTCTTATTGGGAAAACTATTAGACACAACGACGCTTTTATGATTGAAGACTAGATCATCTGTGATTTCCTTACTAGATAGATAAACACACAGTCTGTTCTTCGATATTTTCGAAGCAAACTTGATATGAGAGGGGTTCACTTTGGTAAATAACTTTTCAATAAATTCAACAATTTGTGCATTATTTACCGAATCTATGATGATAGCATTTTCTTTCTTGGGAAAGAGAGATTGCATAGTAACTTTAGCATAATTAATTGTAGGCTTAATGTTCTGGTTTCCTGAAGATTGATGAACTTGAGAGGTCTTCATGATGGTCACGAAAACAAAAGAAACTTTTCATTTAGTTAAGCAATATCGCTTCACTTAAGAATAACTCCACTTCTACCACGTTTTACATGTGACTGACTGACTGACAAGCACCGAGTCAGTGGACGCACGCACAACGTGATTTTGCCCGAAGCGGACGGGGCGTCTGATCACCACGGCACTCAGGACGCGACTAAAGGAGGATACTGGTATTGCGTTTGGATATTCTAGTGGATTCACTGGCGACTGTGTTATACATTGAACGTTTCCTGGTTTAACGTGATTTTGGCTCGTTTCTGGATATTCTACTGTTTGTAAGCAATTTGCCTTTGATCTTAATAAAACTTGATGTTGTCACATTGTGTTTTTCCTGGATAGAACAGAGGTATACACTAATGTTTGACTACATCAGCTTCAGTTGGTGTCATCTGGGGCAAAACGAATGGTATAACTTAAATATAAAAATATCTATTAGTTAATAATTTATACATTCTTTAATTAAATATAACATTATTTGCACGTGCCATTTATTTATATTAAAAAACTACATTAAAAACTGTAATTTAAAAAAATTGAAATACTAGAATTTTTAAGTAAGTAATCTGAAAAGAAGTATAATTAACAAATGCATGTGTTTTATAAAAATACTTTCTGAGATTTAAGGGCGGTAACATAACAATATCAATCTTTGCTTTCTTAGTATTTATGACTTAAATGTGTAACCATTCAGTTAATACATATAATTTTTAAATAAATCATTAAAATTCCAAATATAAACTTTTCTTATTAGTGTCACCTCCAAAATGGTGTTACCTGGGGCAGATCGCCCTCCCTGTCCCCTTTAACTACGTCACTGGGATACATTATGTGGTAACATATAACTTGATATTTTCGTGTTTCTGGGCGCGTCAACTGTATAGTCATTATTTCAGTAGGTGTAGCTTGTTTTCTCCTGGGTGATGCTGGCTATGATCTTCCTGCGCGGCCCCACATGTCAGCTTGCGGGTTTTCCCTAACCAGGTATCGCTAACCAGCGGTGCACCTGCCTAGCCAGGACAAGCTCTAAGTTCTAGACGTGTCTCCCGACATCCGTGGTAGTGCACGTAATGCATCCAAGTGTGTACGTAAGGGACGGGTAGGACAAGAAAGAGGAAGGAAAGATCGCGCGCGGTTTGTAGCCTGTTTGTTAGGGTAGAAAGACGCTTACAAGAATGATGTAGATCTCGTTTCCGTTAACATACTTGATATTTCGAAAATTTCATTCGTTGAAATATTTTTCGGCGTCTGTCTTCTACTTATTCTTTGTTAGGCTCAACAAAATTATTTGCTAACTGTTTTGGCCTGTTCAACTACGGTCTTCCATTCCTTTCTGCTGTGCACTTACACTGTTCAGTTTTTTATTTTCATTTCCTTGAGATAATTTATGACATGCTCCATACAACTTAATCTAAAAGATTTGGCATTATTAACATTATTTTTGTTATTTATTAGGTTATATAATTCCGTATAATATTTTATTATTCAAATACCATTAGGTTTTTTAACTGGTGCAAAAATCCTCCATAATTTTTTTTCTTGCGAAAATCATTAATTTTTGAATGTGGCGCCTCCCTACAACTGAAAAAGATATTTTTTCCTCAATGAAAGTTCAAGTTATACAAAACAGATTACGCAATAGCCTCATCCTTTTTCGAAAATACAATTCGCGTAATTTTACGTAAAATATAGACAAATTTATTTTATTTTTC